TGATTTTTTCTTTAATTTTTGTTGGTCCGCATTTAGATGCCTATTTATAATATAGATTGTAGATGTGATTATATTTTTAATGTTAAGTTTAATTTTTATATTTTACATTATCATTAAACTTTTATTATCTCCCCCCTCTTCTCCAATAAAGATATAATTTTTTTTATTACATTAAAAAAATCTAAAAATAACTACTAACAAAAACTTTGAAGCCATAATATTTCTAAGTAAATACTCAATTAAAAAACCTTTAAATATAAAAACAAAACAAGTATAAATATATGAGTTGAGTTAGGTTGATTGAATTTGAAAAATTTTAACCCGTTACCCAACCTATGATATTTATTTTTTAGATTTTTTAATAAATTATAAATATTATATATATTATCTGATTTTGATTTGTCAAGTCGAGTCAAATAGTACAAATATTATATAAGAGTTGTTTTCAAACATTCCTAATCAAAAGTTATAAATTAATTTTTACAAGTTATACTAAAAAAATCTTTATCGCATGATAAAATTAATAAATCATTCTTATGGTTGTGAAAATTGTATATTAAATTTTTCTAATTTTAAATTCCATTTAGAGTTCGATCCTTTCATTAATTTAATATTTTTTTTAAAATTTATTTTTTTTCTTATTAAAGATTGAAAGAAGAAAGATATAGGTTAAAATGGGGAAATTTGAATAGTAAATAAAGGAATTTTGGAATAAAAAGCCACTAAATTGAGATGTCTCGTTGTAGGTGAAGGAACTATTTAATTAAATATTCTTGCTACAATATTCTTGCCATGATAGCAACTAATTAATAAGTTTTAATAAAGAACTAAATTACAAATAATTATTTATTTCGATAATAAAATGTGGTTCATTTCACAAAAATTATCTACTTAAATCAAATTATTATGTTCTTGTTCTTCTTCTTCTTTTTGCCCTTAACATGATTCAATATTTTTGCAAGTCGTTTAATTTTTTTTTTCTTACTTTTATAAAACCAATGTTTTTTTTTTTTAATCTCAAATTCGACGGTCAAAGTTCACAATACGCCTCGGATATTATAAGCTTAATGTTCTTGATATTACAAGATTGAACGTAAGCTTAATGTTCTTTTTTTTTTTTGATTTACGTGGAGTGTCCGGGCCAGCTTGCGTGCACCATGACTAATCCCCACGGCCCACTGAATACCCTGCAAACCCAGTAGGTTGCATGAACGTTTTTATGTGAATTATAGAGCATTACAACCATTTTTCAATTTTATTCAAAATCCCTAAAAGAGAAAAAAAATATAATTTCACTGAATTGGTATTAATTTGTTGTTTAAGTAAGCTTTGAAGAAATAGAATATAAGTGACTTAAGCCCTGTTTCTCTGTAGAAAAATAGTTTTATTTTAGAAAGTGATTTTTATGGAAAACGAATTTCTAAACAATAATTTATTTTCTAATATTTGATAATGTCATGAAAAATAAGTTGAAAAATACTTTTAAGTGTTTAGCTTGTTTGGATTCCAGAAACACATATAAGCAATGAAAATAGTAAATTTAAATTTTTTTAGTAGTCTCAAGGATCCCGTTAAACAAATGTAGAGTTGTTTAGGGTTTATGCAAAGATTATTTAAAGTTTTTTTTTTTTTTGCTTTGAATAATTACTTTAAGGCTGGGTTGTGCAAATCACAAGTCGTACAAGTGTTCGGTCTTTATTGATAATTCACACAAACCACCAATGAAAAATCTTTTAAACCCTTTCAAAAGAAAGAGATTTCTATACCTTTAAGTGCTAACTCTTTTCTTTCGTGTTTTAAGTAATTTTATATTATATTGTACTCATAAAAATAAAAGACATAACTTTCTATTTATAGAAAAATCTAAATATCATATAAATGGTAAAATATCAATTTTTCTCTTAAATAATATCACATATATTATTTTAAGCTAATTTTAAAAACTTATTCAACCAAGTCCTCACCTTATTATTTCTAGGTCTAAAATTGTAATCCTTTCTATTAATTATATTCTAGTCTTTAATTTCTAATATAATTTCACTGAATTGCTATTAATTTGTTGTTATTAATTCACACAAACCACCAATAAAAAATCTTTTAAACCCTTTAAAAAAAAAGAGATTTCTATATCTTTAAGTGCTAACTCTTTCCTTTCGTGTTTTAAGTAATTTTATATTATATTCTACTCATAAAAATAAAAGACATAACTTTCTATTTATAGAAAAATCTAAAAATCATATAAATGGTAAAATATCAATTTTTCTCTTAAATAATATCACATATATTATTTTAAGCTAATTTTAAAAACTTATTCAACCAAGTCCTCACCTGATTATTTCTAGATCTAGAATTGTAATCCTTTCTATTACTTATATTCTAGTCCTTAATTTCTATAATTTATTTACAATTAAGTCACACTTGATTAATCATCCTAATTTAAATTCTAACCAATAATTCTTATATTTATGACCCATTAAATTTACTAATAAGTTGACCCAAATATAAATCATAATTTTAAATAAAAAATAATTAAATAAATTAATTTATTATCAATTCAACAATTAATTAATATATATTTGAAGATCAAATACAATATTTAGTAATATGTTATAATCCTCAAATATTAGAAAAATTATGTGTAGTTTGACTTAACTTTTCAGTGATCAATCTCTTAATGTAATTATTATCCCTTGATCAATAATGTTTTGATTTAGATATTATAATATAGAGTGTGTCGTCTTCTCTGTCAAATAATATTTGTTCTCAACATCATAGTCACTGATTCTTTGAATAAAATTTGAAACTATTTTCAAATCTCATTCCACCTTACATAATGATCTATAAAAAAATATTATTTGAAAATAGATGAAATAATACTATTTCAAATCTCTTTTTAAATTTTTGAATAAGATTTGAAATTTTTTTAAATCT